TAATATGAGCATAAATACCGCTTCACTGTTGCCATCTCTTGATTACCCATTGTCTACTCATTGGTCACCCATACCAATTAGGATCCACCCATTTCAATTATCACAGCTTATCTGTTGGTTGAGGAAAAAAAGAAAAGTAAGGTGATGGGGACAAGGTAATAACACAAGTATCTGGGAGGTGGTTTCTTATTTTTTTTAGCGAAAGACTCTTGCTTAATTACAAATGGCAATGTACAAAGTTGCAAGCACTCGATGATCCTTATGCCAAATGCAAAAGTGCTTCTCACCAATTTTATGCGGCGGAATAAGAAGTTACGCATTCTGAATAAAAGTTCACTCACACTGCGTATGTTTCTTCACCTGACCATGGAATACTTTGACTCTAAAGTAAAACAATCATAGCATGGGTTTTGCCTCATTTACGGAGTAAGATTAGTAAAGTATTAGATGATGGTTAAGGGGAGTGCGATTAGCTAGCTAAGTGTGGTTTAGCCGGCCGTCTGTAACCCCCAGTCTGTAGTTCAGGAATGCTGGTGATGCTGATGCATTAAGACAAATTTCTACAGTGAGTTGCGGAAGTTCCATTTGTCTGCATTCATGACATATCATTTCGATTTGTTTTTACTTTTCATAAATTGGTATTACACTTCAAGTCCAGCAACGTGTGATGTTGGCCAATTCAAGGAGTGAATCAGGAGTGTACAAATTGTGACATTACTAAATCTCGGGAAAATTAGGCTTGAATTGGGAAGCTTGTAGAAAATCGCAATCCAAGCTTTTCTTCCCTTACCAACATCTCTATTACTCTACACACTATTTTGAATTTACGGGAGAGTGTAATATTCTTGCGACCTCTGCATTCGTAGTAAGGGTAATGCGAAGGAAACGAGTGTTGATTACAGTCGACTGAACAGGCCGTTGGTGCGAGTAAAACCTGTAGGATAAATGCGCTTAGGCAGACACTTTTTTGAGTAAGAAAAAAAGTACTAGTGGAATAGACGACTGTGCCGTTACCCCATCCAGGTGATTGGCCGGTTATGACAAATAGATGTGCACACATTAATCCTGTTCTCGTGGTTATAACAAGCAACAGTCATAATGAATTAGGTCACTGGTTCAAATGGTAAATGGTAAAGATTGCAAGACACAGCCGAAACTTCCTATTTCTACCGTATTCCCTAACTAATGCTCACCTTACGCTACGATTTCTCTTACTTGGTCGTCGCAGAAACATCCCGATGCCACAATATATGCCCCAGTTCAGGTTGTCCCATATTGCCCAGACGACATTGTCTATTTCTAATTTTCGGTACTTCGTATGGGTCATCAGGCTCAACTTCCATGGCAACCTCTTCTGTCATCCCCGCTTATCATCTGTTTTTATTAGTGGAGACTACACCACGGAGGTGTGGATGTTGAATTCACTTCACCTGTACTCATGGATAAAATGATTTGTATCTCCTTACCTTCAGCTACTGCATGGTAAATGCGGCACTGATTTACGGTAAAGGGTTTCTTCTCACTCCTTTCCAACTTTCCACAATCACCCTAGTATTTGCCATGACTTGTAGAATTTTGGTAATTTCCACACCATCTTGAGTAGAGTGAGTGGGAAATGTTAAATGATACAAAAGTTGGGTAACTGTATAATGAAATGCTTCGACACGTTTTAGCTGCTGCATTCTTCATTTTGCTAAAGTATAAAAAAAGGAGCCATGGGGCTGCAAAAAAGACGAACTACATCAACTTTGTCATCGGTCAGATTAGTCATTCTGATTCGATTGACACAAATAGTCAAAACTAGTCTTAGGCATTAAAAAGACAATTGTTTTAAGCTATCATGCTAAATCCTGCTAAATAGGCCAAATTTAAATTTGTAGTTAAGTGAAGAACCTTGCTGATCGAACTACAATTAGTAGGGAGGGCAGAGCTGTCGGCGGAAACTAATTCCTTCTTTATCTGAGTCGTATATGCTAAATATTACCCATTGATGTCTTCGCTATGGAACAAATTTACATACTGTATGAATCAGTGACTTTCACTGCCGTAAATGAATTGGATCGGAGCAAGAGGGCTAAAAAGGTACCATTTCCACTAAGCTAATTGTCCGACGTCTGTCAGTTACGTTGTCCTTTATTTAATACTTGCATTTCCCACCAAATGTCAACACCTTCTACCGTTTTGCTAAATGACAATAGGTAAAAGACAGGTATGACTGTCTAAAAGGCAGTAAATTAAATTATGGTGTTTTAAACAGTACAATGTTATTCCGCTACTTGTAGACTATAAGTAGCGTGTTCGTGCCAAGGATCAAGGGAAAGTGGTATGCATTACGCACACACCCAGACCCAGCAATAGCAGCAGCAATGTGGTACATGAGGGTCTTCAGCGAAGTTGTGAGGTAGAGTCGTAACTTTCTTGCGACTATTCCCCATTGCCCTTTGCCTTTCCTGAAATCCAATGAGTCTTGCACCGTGTTGGTCATATACTTGTCCTAATGCTAATCACGACCCTAGAGCAATGACAACAATGTCATCACCTTTGCCAGAATATCAAAATAATGTGTTGTTTTGACCAGTTAAAATCATGGTTGGTATGCCCACATAGATTAATAGCGCGGTGAAAATGCATAATTAATTGATTCTGAGATAAACGATGTTGTATATACCCCCAGGTATCTTCTTCTCTCAAGGATTTTGGGATCTTTCACCACATTTTGTGGTAGCAGTGTCGAATGAGGTGCACCTGTGGAGAAGGAAGATGATCTTATGACTTCCATTCTTATCTGGGAATGTAATAGCAGCTGTAATTTTGGCTGCTCATCCATTTCTTCACCCCAAACCCACCTGTGCTCATATAATTGCGCCAGTGTACTGCCCAAATTGGTGTCGTATCTTTCGGAAATGATGCAGTCAAAAATTTCTTCTCAACCAGCATTTTCTGGAGTGAAGTGCTCTCTTTCTCCATGCCGTAGACCCGACCAAAGTTTGTGCATTATCAATCTAGTGTGGAATCAAATGTAATGTAGCTGCAAATTCTCGAATTTTCACTCACAGTTTTCCGTTACAAAATGTCTATTTCGACCAAACTAGTGATTTGACTTAGTTTCATCAGTCAAGTTGGATGCAACTTAAAGGAAGTGCTGCTATTCCTCTATTACGATCCTTAAAGGAAATGTCTGCTAACGATGGGAAGAGCACATTTGTACATTCTCAATGGTATATCTCTGCTATATATTGCACCAATAGCCATGACAAATGACCACGAAGGTCCAGATTAGAATATTATATTAAGAGTCCATATTAGTGTGCCATTGTGCAACAACTACGGCGACCTAGCATCCCTTAGCACCGTTAAGAGCCCAAATTTGACGATACAACACTAAATCACGAATCCTGAATTAGAATCATTTGGGTGAGAGGTGGACCTTCCATCTCCTTAAGCATCCAAGTCACCGGATCGCTAACCAATTTTCTCTATCGTCACTCTAAACCTTACTACATAAATTACATACATTTTGTTCGTTTTTCAGCACCCGCTAATTATGGCTGTTTTGCATAGACTTCTGCTGCCACAGCCCACGTTACCCTCACAGACCGCTGATTAAAGGGCAGCTTTTTCGTATCTAGTACGACTAAAATCCCACAAGATCACGCATAAGCTCCTTTGCTTCCTCCTTACCTCTTTTACATGAATGCTTGAATCTGCTCAGTTGAAGGTCAAATTGAGATTTTATGGCTTCAGACACTGTGTATCCTAGGCACTTGTTCTACTGCTATTTGCACGACGATTGACAAGGAAACAGCTTTAGTAGGTGAGTCTAATTCAGAACAAATAAATGCCACTACTCTTGAGAAGAGATGCGAAGTAGTGCGTAGTCTCGAAACTAGATTAGTGGTTAAAATGGATTTTGAGACTGCTGTCCGGAGTCGCTTCCTTCTGACCATGACACCAAAATGGTGGCAAGGCTACATTTATGCGTGTGACTGGCCTGAAGTGATTGACTCACCATGGAGTTCGAAGCCAATGCTTGTGTACACTCACGCTACTGCCGATGCTGTGACTCTGGGTCTGCCTTTGTGCGTGCCCGGGATGCAACATTATTCCTATTGTCTTCATGTTTTCAACCACCATTTTGATGGTTTTATCAAATAGACGTAGCCCCTCTGCACAATGGTAATAAAGTAATCTCATACGCTCAGCCACTTTAGCTGTATAACGTTCACTTTTGCAATGTTTTTGCCTTGTGTCGCTATGTTCTCTCATTTTCTCCTAACAGAATACGAGGATTTGGGCTGATAGAATAAGATGGTAACCAAAATTAGAGGAAGGGGTCATTTCAAATGTTTGGTTAATAAACTTGCATTTAACTACAACAATAGCCGTCTGGGTGGCGTGTGAAGAGGAGCACCATGGGAATAAATTGCATTTTTGTTTACTTGTACCGGCCAACAAACTTAAGCATAATGGGACTTGGTTCGTGGGACAAACACGGTAGAGGATTGGTACAGTTACATCTAACCTTGGTAATTATGCCATTTCATCACATTTCCTTTGTTGTGTTTAAGGCGAATGTTTTGGGCTGCAGCTACAAAATAAGTGGGTGTTGTGGAAGTGTTCATAATGGAACTGAAGACGTGAAAATGGGAACATGGAGGTATTATAGAATGCTTTTTCCAGCGCACTAAGGGAGTGAAATTAGGGAACCACGTTCCTCTGATTATGCCTTGTAAGATATAGGTCGAATACTCCAAATTTGTTAATTGCTGTCAGTAATTGGCATCAATATAAACTTGCCTCTTTGATGCTGCCACTTTCATTGCCCTTGGGTTCGACTTGCCCACCTGTCTGTTAGTCATACTCGTCATTGATGAGGTTGGTTGACTGCCTAATTAACAGAGGATCTCGCACGAACGAAAACAACATTGGCAACTAAATATAAATGCGATCAACAGCTGGACTATACTGCGTAGACAGTCGGCAGGCGCAATAAATTTGATCCAGAATGTCATTTGTACAGAGCAACTTGAATTGTTTAAGAGCATTGCTGTTCGTCTTGCAGCAGCCACACATTTTCATTCAATTTGAACGCCATTATTGTCCACCTGGACTAAGTTAATGCCTCCAGACAAATACTCGACGGCATAATTTTGACTAACACATTCACTTACAAATGACTAATGACGTTGACATTTCTTACCGCATTAAGAATAACTTTATCGGAGTGCTTTTGCGTTTATTAAACATTCCATAAGGCACAATACATGAAAAACCATATCGGAGCTTGTAGCCTTCCAATGCATGGTATGACTTTGCAAGTCACGTGGAAAAAATGCATTGTAATTTGCTCTTAAGACAGTATACAGCACTTTCCGTAAAGACAGCGTTTGCCATGTAGCATTTAAACTCGGGTTTCACCATCACCAACATTAATGAATGAACTTTAAACAAATAAAAGTCAAGAGCGCGGATATCTGATAAAAGGCCGAAAGTGTACACAGAAGCGTTGGCTTATAGGAGGATGTGGATGGCCAAGTATGGCTACTGATGGGCAAAATTTAGCCACCAGATCCCTGTTCATGCATGTGATTGGTCTGCATTTATCCAATGACCGCTCTGAGTGAGGTTCACTTGTAGATTACCAATAGTATTTCCTCATATCCTCACCCCACAAACCATTAGCTACACACTTCGAGGTCATTCTGCCAATGAAATACACCTACTCACAGTTAAATCCCACGCTGACTGTAGTGGAATGACGGTGAACTTAGACGTGGAAGTAGAAAAGAATCTCCTGAAATCAGGCTTAAGTTTGTAGGAGTACTGTGTGTTCCATGTACCTGCTTTTTTCAGGAAATCTCATTAGATGGACAAACCGCAAGTTGCAATTGAATATCTTTATGTAGTACTTGACTGGCAGGAACCTAAAAGTGCCACTTTGTACGTTGCTCCCTTCTTTAGGATTAAATACGTTCACTACTGTCACCATGACCGGAAAATAACATATAGATTTATGTAAATCTTTTTTTAGCAAAACATCCGCAGAGTAACTCACGATGCTGTCTGCAATGAGAACGAAGCGGTGCACCCATCAAAACCAATCTGATGGGCAAGTAATTGATGAATTGGAAGTAAGGATCCTCTAAATGGAGAAAAGGAAACTGTGCAACACATAAATGGCTTGAGTTAATGCAATTTTCACGCAATAAATGTGGTCTCATGTTGCACGATCACAATGTGAACAAAGTCTACTTGTACTACACTCGATATTGTGGTGAAGTTATTCTGGGACGTTCAGGCATTATTTGCTAATGCAATACCCGCACAGGCAGTCGATGCATTTTAATTCCCGTCTGTTAAGTCTGCATTCCCCCTAGAGTTCGGATGGTCTCAATTGCGCAAAACTCACTAATGCGAGACTTGTATGTCAAAACTCGGGCAAATTAAACAAAAGAGGATCAACGATGAGCTCCATCCCCGCCCTTTATTGACTTACTTTTAATAAGGGGTTCTTTAAGATGGTAATTGTATAATTGATGACCGCACGGGCCCTGCAATATCTCAAATTTGATTGTCGAATTTTAGCATTCCTGATGACTGTCTAGTATTAAATGAAAATTGGCAGATATATGCCTACTTTGAAATCACACTTTTCCTGCTGTGGCGATTGTGGTAAAGAGGGATGCTTTTTAGCAAGACGCAGGGTCGTTGCTGAGTTTCAAATTACCAACCAAAGTTTTCTGTAGATTGTATGCATCCCTAATTAAGTATCTTGCAATAATACTTAAAAAACATTTTCAATTCAGTAAGCGATAAACAGCGTTATGATATTTCTTCAAGAGATTCACCCAATTATTTTAGGTGTTTAATACATGACCGAACCCTCCAAACTCCACATTTTATTCCACACAGTAGCCAAACTTTGGAATTAATAAGTAAATTAAATTTAGTATTGCTTTAGATATATGTGAGATAATAACGCGCATGTACGTGCTGAAGGTGAAAACTGGAGCCGCAAATAAGTAAAACCATTCAAAATTTAAAAAATTTGATGCATTTTGCCTCACAGGAGTCAACCTAATTCGAGTTTATGAAATTAGTACAAAATCAGCAAATATGAGCTAAAAACGTCAAAATCTAGCATTTGTGGTCAGGAGATGTCTGCAATGAGGGGTTACGTTATTGTTAGGTAGACGGAACTGAATAACGAATTGTCCTTTCCTTATACCATGGATACCTGTAGCATAAAAAGGTTTGTTTTATAGGTGCAAGTTGGGAGGCATAATATTTTATATGGATAAAATTGTTGAGCAATTGCACTGACTGACACGAGAGTTCAAGCAAAGACTACCACCATGCAAGTAATTACAACTCGTGGAACTACGAAAGTTAGGGTCGATCCACCAACCGATTTATTGTTATCTTCCCTTTTTCGTGTAAAACAGACATATTATCAGGGATAGACGTAGTAAGTGTGCGTTGGTCAACTGTGAACTGGGTAGTGACAAGCGTTAACCACTGCCTCACTGTGACAGGCTCAACTAATGCTGCCATGTCATTGCGCTGAAAGTGTAAAAACGGTTTCTATGATTACTCGATGACATTTATTGGCCTCATTCTTTCGAATGTGGCCAGTTCTATCCAGATGGTAAAGGGGCAGTAATTGGCACTATAATAATAGCGGGCTTTAAATTGCCTTATAGAGATATTGGGTGGCTTTGATATAATTCATCTACCTGCACCCCATCGTGAACAATTTAGCACCATAGCACAATGTTCGGTAAAGAAGTAGAGCAAGTTAACCCACCATCAAAACCGGTACAGGCAAACATCTTGATTGACAGCGACTTTTGAATGGATTGCGTAGTTGTTGCGTGATGAGATTTGGCTTTGACAGCACAATTTGTTACACAAGATTCAGTGTGGAGCGCCGCAGTACTAAAATGAGCTTAAAAGACCCTTTACCTGTATCCATGTGACCAAAATTGAGCCCTCCTGTCCACACGAACCTGAAATCGTGCAAAGAAAAGCAATGGAAATGGAACGAATAAAACCTGCTCGACAACTTTCCTTTGGAGTTGAAACAAATAAATAAATGAGGGGGAAAGGTCCAAATATGCAAAAAATACGAACCCACCAAAACTATGAATGATTTTCTGGACTGTAAAGCAAAAAACCTCAAAATAGACTAAATGACAAAGTGCTGAGCAAGTATTCAGAACTAGAAGATGAGATAAAGATTTCAGAATAGCATACTTTACTTCAATCTTCCGACATTTATTCACACTAGATTCATCAGTTTATTCACTAGCTATTTTGTTATAATCCAGTCGTTCATTATTGAGTCATTCATTAACAAAACCATCCAAACATTTTTAATCCCTCTATCCATTGAACAATCTTTTATTTCATTTCACTTTACCATCACCTTAAGCTAGCCCCCCTCTTTGGAACAAATGAGTGCTGTTTAATAAAGCAATAAAAATAATATGCAAGAGGCTTATTAGTCTGTATTAGAGTACCTCAAAGTAAGTAGGAAAAACTAAAATGAAGTAAAGGAACGTCGGGGATTGGTTGTAATCTAGCGATTGGCCACATGTTTCTTTATAAATGTAGCATTAAAATAAGGTGGGAGAAAAATTTCAAATTCAGAGCCGACTGCCAACTTCAACCTAATTGCGCCACAGAGGAGGAATGGCGTAGTCACGTGTTTGGCTTTAGGTAAGTTTCTGAATCCCCAAAGCTCCATCCGTAGTATGTACTTCAGTCAGTATGTGAGACGCTTTAGTTTTACTTAAATTAATTAACTTAAACTGTATCCAATCGAGTAGCACATGCTTCTGGGTACGCACATCAACAATGTTGTAAAAATTATGCCCCACACTCATTTTGATCATTCGAAAGGTATCTAAGATAAGGTGATATATGTGACAGCAGCGTGGTGGAGGCACACATTAACTTCATGTCATCCAACAACCACGTTGGTTTTGCACGTACAGTCATAGGTAGGCCTTGCTAGAATTACGTAGCACTACCAATAGACTGGGCAAAGAAGGGAAGAACGCGCGGCATTTGCAATGCAGGAGGCAGATATTGTGTCTGAAGTGACGGCACTATCAATTTACTGAGAGTGACCACTCAGCCCATTGTCGTCAACTTAGTAATCTCTGGCCTAATTTTACCTAGAATGTGAAGGTGATACATGCTGACAAGTAGACAAATCTTGCCAGAATGACCCTTCAAATCAATTTGTCTTTATCAAAGTAGAGACTGGATTCAGGGAATAAGTATGGCACGTTGGTGACACTGCCAAATCGAAACTGCGAAAGCACGTGACACGAGGCAGTTCTGCATGTGTGCCTGTGTAAGGCAATCCTAAGATAATGCCAAGTTACACCAAAGGTCACATGAGGCAAAATTCGCCGAATTTTGATGAAGCACTTGCCGACGACTAAACCCTGTAAAAATAACTACCTAAGACAGACAGACTAGTGCGGCCCTATGCAGAGGCAATCTACTGATAAACAATGGGCCTATATTCTTAAATGTTTAAAAAGGTAGACGGTGGAAATTGGCCGCTAAGATGGTCTGATATTGTGCCTACTTTACACAAATAAAGTAAATAAAATGGGATAAACGCCGATTAGCCTGTGTCCATGGACGGTCCGGCTTTCAACATTTCTCTTAGTTAATATTAGGGCTAAAAAATACCAAAATTCGGCTTTGTACACTAACGCTTACTGAGCGTCATAAAAATGAGATGCTAAGCAAATTCAATTTCTCCTTTACATGAGCTAACCATAAATCACGTGTTAGATGCACCGCTAAAAATTTCGGCGAGAGAAAAATGTAGGTCGCATGAAGTGTTCCAGCCTCATAAATAATTATCTTATTTACAAGCATGTTGTGCAAATACCCACTCAATATTTTTAATCGGCCAAGTGAGAAAATGCCCAATTTAGGTAGCATCAATGACACACTAATAATATTTCCTTTATCATTACACAAATTTCCATGGAAACTGCATATGTGGTTTGCCGGCGCATTGGCGTAATGGATGTTTGACACAGTGAGCACCCAAATCTTGGTTTGAAATTTATTACCCTACAAAATCAAGGCAAGATTTTTGCATTTCTTTTTTCAAGACCAAAAATCACTCTTGCGGAATGTGCAGATTCGTGGCTAGACGGGTAAATAAGCATCAAATGGAGTCGTATATTTCATTTAGAAATGACGAGTTTGAGAAGAACGAATGCCTACTCTCTAGATAATGTTCATTGTATGAGACGCACCACACGACTGTTTAGTCAAGACCTCGTGGGTTAACTCTCAAACCGCGTCTCTGCACACCTCTACAATAGCAAGTGTGGGAGTTGAATGTGGCTTCCAATACGCGTTGCAACACGTGGCATCGTGCATTGTATGAATGCAGAAGGCACCTAGTTCGTCAAAAGCACGATACCTCATAGGCTAGTGGGACTGTGGTACCTTCCTATAAATGCGTTAAAAAATTTAGGTGCAGCTCATTTCTGTCGTAAAGATGGTGCTTCGATTCTGTCTTATTTTGCTGGCAACTTCAGTCATCGCTGAGGAAATCAGGGTAGACCCAGGTAAGATGCCTTTCAAAATTCATCTTGCATCAGCAGTCTGCGTATGTATAGTATGTTGTGGTGGATGCTTTTCAACTCGTTAATAGTTAACAGATGACCAGTTGGCCACTATTACTCATTTGTTACTATGTCACTGTCAAATCTAAATGGCGAAATTTAGCAGAATCATTGACTCCATATTCCTACTGTTGTCCTCCTTCTGTATCAGTTCGGCTAGATTTTTGAGTCACCTGCGAAGTGTCATCCACGGGTAGGGAAATGCTTCAAAAATACACCCTAAATTAGAAATGTAGTCCCAAACACTGATAGTAGACTGATTCACTGCACCTCATGACTACTTATTACTGCACACAATTTGTGTACCCTGCACTTGATAGAACATTGCCTTGCTGATATTGCGCCTCATTGTGTTCACTTGCATAGTACACACTCACTTGGACACCTTGTAAGGCAAAAGGCCTTCGGTATCTGGTCACACCTAGCACAATTCCTCCCTCATACACTGCCGTTGCCAACTTCAGCTGCAAGCGAACCCACCACTGACACTAATAACTTCTCCAAGATCAGGGATGTTAGTGACATCCATTTACCTGCTTGATGGGTCCAGATGACAGGAGAAAGTGCTTGACACACTCATATTTGTTATAACACATCCACAAACTTAACTTAAGCCTCATGTTTAACCTCTACCTCAAGCATTCCTCTTAATTTCGCTAAACGCTTAGCCAAGAAGTGACTGGAAAATTAGCTGGAATTGTTAATTTTGCAATGGGTTTGCTTCTGAAAAAAGGTTGCACACGCGTGTATATACATAACTAGCTATTGCATACCAACGGATGACACTCAGCAATTCTTACCTCTGGTGGAACATACAGGTTAATTACTCCGTCGTTTAGGGAAACACAGCAAAGTCCTG